CAGAAGCAGCTTGAGTGCAGAACTTGTAAATAAGTTTTCCTTCTTATTCCTGGTAGATATACAAAGCCTAAAGGTCAGCTACCAGATTATGAAAGCCCTGTGGTGTTGAAAAATGGCCAGTCATCTATCGAAGACTTCTGTAACAACTTACACAAGAGCATCATGAAAGAATTCAAACAGTAAGGCTTCCTCTTCCTAATAATATATAAGCATACAGTATGAAGCTTTAATCCAAACACTGAGCCTGTCATTACTTACCAGTAGTTATCATTTCTCTAAAATTTATCCCATACACTAGAATGGCTGAATGTTTACTTTTTCCTTCTCTGCAGTGCATTAGTTTGGGGTTCATCTGTGAAATTTAGTCCACAGAAAGTTGGTAAAGAGCATATATTGCACGATGAAGATGTTGTTCAAGTAGTAAAAAAGTAAGTGCCTCTGGTAAACTAATATGATTTTGTATTCTAGGTCAGTTTATTTGCCCTGATTTCTGTTTCAGTTACAGTTAATGTTATGGTTATGATACTGCATAGAATTTTTTGATTGACCTGGTTATGGTTACGAGTAGTTACATGCTTCTAATTTTGGCTTTTTTTCCCTACAGAGTGTAATGATGAAAAGAAAAACCTCGAGGAGAATGATCTCACCTGCAAGGAACTGACCTGAGATGAGAAAAGCACCTTTTGATGCCATCATTTTAGATGGAACTATTTTTTGAGCTAAAATGTTTGTATATGTGGACAGAATGAATTGATCATCATTAGTCAAACTGGTGATATTGATATCAAATGATGCTTAGTCAACTGATAACAGGGTGGTTGTTTCTGTTCACTAGATAGTCTTCCTTTATAAGTACTGCTTGAAGCTGCAACTTTCTTGTTAGAAAAAATTATAAAATTACTAAATATGCAGTGCAGGGGGAAAATTTGGCTACCTGTGTTTGGCAGACCAGAAAAAAGCCGTAACATTTTCATTATGTCAAGTTTGTGATCCAAATTTGAAATGAGATGAATATATTCATGAAATATGGTCGATAGTCTGTCATTGTGTTTGATGAATGTGTTGTTCTTTCTCCTTTGTTGGCCTTGAGATGTTGATGAACTTCCATTAACAATTACCATCATGCTATTTGTTTTCCAAACTAGCACTCAAAGGCAGTGTAGTACATAATGAGTTATAGCCCACTAATGAATTTCTGTAAAATTTAATTGGCTACTTTACATTTCATGGCTAAAAATCATTGGACAGTTATCACGCAATAACCTCTGTCAGCATTAATATTTGTCCTGCGGGTATTTCTGTTGAAACAAAACAAAGCCAAGAGAAAGAAGCCAGGCAGAGAGTTTCCCATTTTCAACTTTTGTATTTTACATGAAAGAAAAACCAACTTTTTAAAGTTGACAGAGAGTAACATTAAAAGGACACTATTACTGGTCACAAATGCTTCTCCTGAAGGCACAGAAAGATCAATAAAACACGCTGTCAACTTCTCTGAAGGGGAAGAAAGTTACCAACAGACTTTCAGATTTAGTCTTAGACAAACTTACAGTCATTTTATAAAATAGAGTATTAATTCACTGTATTTACTAACTATACAGTAAATAGATCAGCCGTTCTTGTCAAACTTTAGCATTTAGGAAAGAGAGAAAAATCCCAGAGCGGTTTTTGTGAAATATAAACATTGAAGGGAGGGTTTTAGAACAAATAAACCCCTTTCTGGCTTACTGGTATATAACTTTATATTCCCACAGAGTATTGCAGTAGAAGTTGCCTTCCAGTGATTTTTAACTCTATTCAGTAACAGATGACAGAGGTGAAGGGTCCTTGACTCCCACTCAGGGCTTGGGATCTCAAGAAAGAGCTTGCTGCAGTTAATCAAGTTATTTTTAGAAAGATGTTATTCCCATGAGTCATCACACACCTTTCTCTTGCATTGCCTCTCTATCCTAGTGTGTAAATGGGCTCTGATGAACTGTCAGGATGCTTACCCCTGAACACCCTGAAACCAGTATGCAAATTATTCATGCTATCCTCTTTACATTTAATATGGTACTTTTAAAGAGAATTGTCCAACAATCAAGAGCTTCTTGAGTTTGCAGTTATTTCCTTTATTCTTATGAGCTAGATGCTTGATTTGGGGGTAGTACTGTTGGGAGAAATTAGAAATTCATCACTCTAATGGGGTATTGGGTATGAAATACACAGGCAATCCTGTGATGGACCAGCATGTTTTTTAGAGGACATTGTAATAATTTTCATCAGCGTGTTCTGATGTTTGTTATAAACTTTGTACAGCAAACTTGTGTACCAATTTTTATTCCTTATATTACATAAATATTACTATACTGCATTTGTAATTAATGTGTTAAAAGTATATTATGTCAAACACAGGCTAAAATTTAACTACTGTAAGTTTGTAATGGAAATCACCTGGAACTAATACTTATGTTCAACATGCTCAACATGTTGACAAGAAATAATGCTATTTTCCCAGCAAACTAACTGCTGACAGAAAAGAAGAAACCTAATCTAGTCTCTACAAAAAAAATTGAAAATGCCTAAAAAAAGACTTACAAAAGCAAAGAAATTTTGTCAAGAGATGGGATGAAAAAACAGAGAACAAGAAATCCTATGGCATGTAGGAAACACATACCTTGAAAATCTGACGAGCTTGAGAAAAACTTACAAGTTACATCTGAACTAATTCTGTAGAGTGACTGGTTGTTTGTTGTATCGTTTTCTAGTTGCAACTTTGGAAGATGTTATAATTTTTAGTTTAATGTTAACTTTAAAAAAATCTGTTATTGTAAAGGCCACTTGGCTTAAAAGTTCGACAGCATTACTGAAGATGAAATGCTCACATGCCAGGGGTTAGATTTATTTACAGTTACCTTCTTAATAATATGGGAAAAATGATTACAGCTGACCATAATTGCATCCATAAGCACAAGGGGAGAAATTCAAAAGCAAGCAAATACAGTGAAGAATGTTGATGTAATTCTTAGCTCAATTTGTGTGACTGGACTACTTAGTTTCTTAGTAAATGAGCTAAGTGAAAAGAGTTGCAATGTGAACACTAAAGAGGATTCAAAATGAGAAGAAAAAGACTTCAATTCTGTCCTTAAAGAAAACAAAAATAATCTTACATTGCATGCCCCTTGGGTCTAATTGCACCAGTATGAGTTAATTTTGCCCTAAAGCTTGTTTCATAAAAGTATTTGAGATTTCTTAGATAATCAAATAAGTGGAGCCATGAAAAAAGAGGCTAAGAATGCTGCAAACTGGAATTTTTTTTGCAAATTTGGGCGGATTTTACAGTAGATAATCAAAATATTACTCCATAGAGAAGGAAATTAACACTTAATATGAAGTATCCCTAAAGATATCTTCTACGTTTTCAGCAGCATAGGAAAATTTGCAAGTTGCAAGGCATCATTATATTCTACATTATCCGCTCTTGAACAGTTCTAAGCTTTACTTTTCAGGTGTATCTTCTGTGGTTTCTTGCTCTTTGATTTTATCATCATCAGTAACTGTACTTGTTGATTCTTTTGCTTCCTTAGTTTCACTAGTCTTGCTCTCTGTTTCATTGTCTGTGTTTTCTGATTTATTTTCTTTGTCTTCGTCATCATCATTTTCCTTGACACTGAGTCCTTCCAGTTCTTGTGCTAACTTGTTACTTTCTTGTGGATTAGTTGTTTTGCTTGTTGAAATATCATCCCTGGCCTTGACAAACTCTTCTTTAAACTTCTTAGCATCTGTGTGATTAAAATATTTCACCGAATGAAAAGGTAGAAAATGAGAAATTACACCTTTGACCTCATTAAAAAATTATAGAATTGCCTTAACCCCTTTGACCATGCAGGATTGTTGCTACACACTGGCTGATGGAAAAGCAGCATTCACCAGCTGGATTTCTGACCTGCAATTGCTTGGTAAACCACTAATGGCAGTCCCAAGGTTATCCCCCTTAAAATTGTTTGATAATGAATCAGGGCGTGAAATTGCGCCTAATACAGGCGCCAATGCACCTAAATTTTTCACTTTGGTGACCAAATCCTGAAAGTAAATCACCAAATTGGCAACTAGAACGTTTCATCATAATCTTACCAAGAGATATAGTGAATTAAAAAGATTTGCAAAGATAAATCCGCAGCAAACTTCCTCGTTAAGTTTGTTTCCAAAATGTAGCACATGCATCTCGATCTCGATCGATAACTAGACGCCATCTTGGATTTAGATGAGCCTGAAAGTTGTATATCATCCATCCTAGTGTCCACTTTGTAGCACGTTAAAGATCTTTTCCCTAACTTAATTTTGGAGGGTCTATCTAGAACGCTGACGGTGTAAAGAAAGATTTTGTTTGTCTTTGAAAATGGCGACCAACTTTTTTTGAATTGGCTACCACTTTGAAGAATTTAGGAGCCAAATGGCTATCAGAAAAAAAAATTAATTTCACGCCCTGTGAATGCTATTTTTAAGTAGCCTCACTTAAAATTTCAGCAGGCAACCTAATTTCTTAGCTACAACCCTGCCATGGAGATGCTCAGAATCTATTTTTTTCTTTTTTTCACAACAAACCAAACAGGAATGAGGTGTTCAAACCTGAGCACATACCTTTACGTAGGGATATGATTGCTTCTGGAATATCACAATTAAACAGGTAACTGTTATCTAAACAGGAATATTTAACTGATATAAATACTCACTTTCTGCATTGGCAAATCTTATAGCCAGAGTTTCCGTTTTAATTTCTTCATCAGCAAAGTCTGGTGCTGTCCAAACCCAAGCTCTATCACTACCACAATTTGGCCTTAATTCCATATCTTTAGAAACTAAATTAGAAAAAAATAAGCATTCAACAAGTTAATTTTTCAAACAAGTAGGCTGGAGTACATTGATGAGAGACCCAGAAAATACATTTTTTATCTGATAATCAATTGATTTGTTATGCTAAAACGTATACATTTGATGTCAAGGATTGTTTATAAAAACGAAACTTAACATCCACTTTACAAAGCTTAATTGTTGAAATAACACCTATGCAAAAAGAGAGCCTGCTCATTGGTCAGGTGCCCCTTAATTGATAACAAACAGCACAGAAATTTGAATTGACTATTAACTGAGTTCATTAGCAAGTAATGAATTGATTCCTCGTGAAAATTGAAATGTGTATTCGTTACTTTTCAGAGAGCAAAATGCACTCTCTCTCCCTTTCTGATTTTGAGTCAGAAAAAATTAGCCTGGCTTAATTGTTCTAAATTGAATATTTAAACTCCTTTAATTTACCATGACGACAGTTTCAATACTTGTGTAACTGTACAGAGTAATTTTAACCGTTAATGGCGTCGAAATCATACTCACTGTAATGATTTGCACATATTTTGAACGTCTTGTCTCTTCTCATGAGAACTCTGTATGTTCCCTTATCACTATTTTTCAAAATCTTTATTTCACCGACTCCTCTCTCTTTCCATTCGTTTTCCTCACCACTGGTTTCGAATCGGTACAGCTTCGCACGTCTGTATACAGGGAAAAGGAAAATTACGGCAAAATCAGCGAGCATGTATGCCGATCGACCATTTACGAATCTAGCTGACAATCTGGTACGAAAATTTGCGATTCGCAGCGACTTACAGTTTCAAGAGCAATTCTTCGTTTTCTTCCAGTGCTTTGAAATTGACATCTATCTTGGGAAGGTTGACGATCGGTTCAAAATGAACGTCAGGACTTGCGGGAGCTTCGTCAGATGTCTTTCAAACAATTACATTAGAAGATTATTAACGCTTTCATAAATGATAATAGACACGCAGAAACATGGAAAAATAAATAAGCTACCTTTTCATTGCTCATTGTGTACTTTTGACGATAAGATGAACAAGATATGAAAGGATTTTCCAGGCCGGTTTTCAAATGAGGCAAGAAGAAAAATTATTTCGCGCTTCAAACGTTGCGCAATGATGTACGACGCATAAGTGATTGCGCATCCCTTAGTCAGTGGGGTTATATCGTGGGCTCAGATTATCAAATTGGCGGGAAATTTATTCACGTCGGCGCATCGGCCATGTTTAAATGCACGCAGTAGTTTCGCTTTAATGGATTCTGATGGCTTTCTTTCGGGAAGAGATAGGCGATAACCGGAAATACTTTCGCGTTCACAGGCTGTGGACGGTCTCAAACTCTGGTCACCTCAGTGTACTTCGAGTTCTAGGATGGTACTAATGTTTTGGCCAAACTGTTTACCACTAGCTCGTGAGCGTTAGTGTAAGTATTGATATTTTAATCTTTAAAGACGATACATTCCTGAAATATCTTCAAACAACATCTAGCAAAATTTATACGTGTTTTTATTCCAAAACAAGATGGCGTCTATACATTCGATAACATTGGTCTCCCTCGGTCTGGTAAAATCATTCAAGCACGCGTCGTTTTACTAATCGCTGCGTCGCGTTTAGAATTGATTGACATTTACTCAACTAATAAGAATCAAAATAGCGGATATTTTATCTCAAAAGGCACCAAACGTGATCAATGGTTACCAAACGAATGCTGCTATACACCTTGAGGACTGATTTGAGAATTAAACTCGGCATTTATGTGTCATTTGATACGCTTGGGAGGCAAACGTATTTTTTTTTGCCATGAATCCATCGGCCAGAGAAGAAAATTTAATATAATATTTAACCTCCTATCACACCAGGACCCAGCCTATCAAGACTGCCTTGTCCCCAAAAGATTGCGCCAATTATGTGAGAGTTGATCAATGGAAAAAAAAATTTATTAATAGTCGATTCTGTAAATACACTGTAATTAGACAGGCCAGGAGAAAATAAAGCCTTCATTTACTGGTGAAGGGGTCACGGATATTGCCATTATCAGAATTATGATTCTTAGAAAGGTGTCATGACTATAGAGGAAAAAAGAGTCAGATTGCAAAAGAGGCATCCTTCGCTTTTTTTCGTATCCGTATTTAGGTGAACTGAGGCGAGTGCCAGGGGAAGCGCACACCTCTCACACGTGACTCTCCCTTCTTGCTCCCCACGCTTTCGGCTCGTGCTTACTTCCGCCCTTAAAAGGGGCCGTAAGCAAAAAACCAAACACAATAGCCTGCTTGTAGGCTGAACAATCAGCGGTAATAGGTCTCAATAGGCGGAGGTAGGCCGCTAGTAACCTGCTTTTATTGAAACCCTTGCCTTTGGTCCTACAAACTAAGGTCTGGTTATTTAAACCAAGTTCAGCCGTTGTGTGACAAACCGCGTCCTAAACAATCCTCAATTTAATTGAACCTTTATCTGCACATTCATTGTTGTGAACAGTATAAAGAGGGCCGAAAGCTAACAGGGAAAGGACATTTATCTAATTAAATTAACCCTCTTACGGAGAAAACCTGAAAACCTGGGCTAGACTTCGTGTAAATAACCGGCCCTAAATGTTTTCTTAAAACTCTTGAACCGTCCTTCGACCTCCCGGCATCAATGATTCATAGTGCCAAGCAATATTGCTGAGCATGATACCTTCGTTATTTGACACTATGACTGCACATTGACAAAGAAACAATTCCTTTTTTAGAAGTCTAAAAAAAGGCCCGAAGCAAATCTACTAGGAAAAGGAAAACAAAACTACACCAGAATCCCACAACTTTTCCAATGTTTACCTTCTTCTTGAACTTACTTAACTTGAAAACAAAAGAATTTTTTTTATGCCCTTAACACTAGGAGTAAAGACTATTGAGTGCAAGATCATGCAAATATGAAACTGCTGAGCGGCACCATCATGATGATCCGGAAAGAGTCCAAAACTACGCAGAAATGTGACAAACAACTATCTTGCAGATCGCGAGTTCAACGTGGCAAGGAAGGAATGTAAGCAAAATGTCTTCTTTCAACCTTTCTTTGTTACCCGCCTAATCCTTGGCAAAAGTGATGTATTTCTTTGTAAAGTCAAATACCCAACATTTGACAATTGGCATTTTAGCTTGACCCGAAGAAAGGAACATCAACGAAATCTTAAAAACTATACGAGTGGCTCGAACATTGCCAACCATGCATGGGAAAACAATCACGCGATTGACTTTGATGGCGCTACCGTGATAGACAAAGGCAATTACCGCGTTCGAAAAACACTAGAATCTTGGCATACCGCAAAAACTGTCGGCGCAGACAATAACTCTAAACCGTTACCAAGACAATATTCTATCTTATTGTAATTTGATTTTGTTCTATTGTCCATTTCTTAGCTTTTCACACTTCTATTGTATTTTTTAGTTTTTAATTTTTTCACACCCTCCCCTGTATATATTTCTATTCACGCGCTTATATTTTCTACATTCGTTAAAGGCTATAGTATAATAGCCGAAAGCTCATATTTTAAAACCTTTTTAACCAGAGAACGTTTTTTACCTTTTTCACTATGTCATATCCTGGTAACAGTCCAATTTTAATAGTATTTAGGCTATTAGCAAAATAAAGACGTACACAACAGAAGACGCACATCATTATAAAATGACCCATCTCGTCTTGTTTTGCTTACGTTTGAACCTTTAAGTGTTTACTTGGCTGCCCAGAGACGTTAAAATAACATGGTTTAAATATTTACGCCACAAAGCTAAGAAATCCAACCGGCAGGAGGCTAGTAAGAAACTTCCGTTAAGAAATTCATTATTGTTTGATGATGTTCACTGATTCCTGTTAAAATAAGTTATCAGGTTTTTGTTAATAATAAAAACGTTTACTTTAGCGAATAAACACTATCGATTTCCATTGTCGAAACCAAACTGTCTGTCTGCTGTACCTCTTAACTGCCTGCTTTTAATCCTAAATTTAATTTTGCATTTAAATATCGAATTAAACCGAGGCAAGGGACAATAAAAAGTGCCAGAATCTCAGCTGGAATGATTAAATGTGAAAAGAATAAGATCGACTCAGATCAACTCTTATTGAACTGATAACAATATTTTTATCTACGATCACTCGTAAACATTGAGATAAGTCAAGTGAAAGAACTCTTGAGATGCTCGTTTGCCCAAGTCACGCATCTAATTTCTACCAGGAGTTAGATTAATTGAAACAGACTCAACATTCGTTATTCTTAAAGGTGTTACCGCATGGACTAATAGCAGTGGATTTGTCGACAGCTACCCACCCCACTGTGTTTGATGAGCCGTCCTGAGGGTCTTAAAGGACAACTTCAGAAACTAGGAGATTTAACTTGCGTTGTCAGGTAAGAGCACGATTGTCGAGTGAAGGATTTAACTATGGACGTAATAAGAACAGGATTTTGTTAGTAACAATGAACTGCTTGTGAGCAAGGTTATGGGCAAAATTCATCAGTGAAACGAGTTTTTGGTGGCCAAGAATACGTTTTTTGGATGTTTATTTATATGGTTGAGGAATAATGAAATATTCGGTGTATAAAGTGATTAATTATCGTTGTGTGGATTAACAATATCTGCTCTCGGAGCTTCAACCTTATTCCAACATCTTGAGGGGTCTTTGTGATTATAGCAGGTAATTTAGTGTTAACAACTGGGTTGAAAACGTAAATTAGCCACCGTAAAGAGTAAAAAAGCTGACGTTTCGAGCGTTAGCCCTTCGTCAGAGCAATCGCTCTGACGAAGGGCTAACGCTCGAAACGTCAGCTTTTTTACTCTTTACGGTGGCTAATTTACGTTTTCAACCCAGTTGTTAACACTAAATTACCTGCTATACTCTCCCACCGACGCAGCACCACAGTTTCTTTAGAAACTTACCCCTTTATTCCTTTGTGATTATAACCTTGTTTCACGCACTCATAAGCAAAGTTGAAATGTAACAACTAATATCAAACGTAAGAACACTTTGGTAACACAACCTTTATTAAGTCCATGGTAACTTTGATTAGAGCTTTTTATTCCACCTCTTTCAAATTTATGGTCTTGATAAGAGCTACGTAAAAACGCGAAGACAAGAAAACGATAGTAGTGTTTAGCATTGCAGGCATGTATAGCGCAACGGAAACAGAGAGAGAGCAATTGCTTTGTGACTTATGACCTTCACGCTAATGTTGTGAAGCAAGGTTTGAACAGGAAGATTATTCTTGTGATACACTGTCATCGGACCTATCTATTCATACCTAACCCTACTCCCCTTGAGTGGCTTTACTGTGTACTACACAATGGCTATCGCAAAAAAGGTAGTGTGTGTCACTTAAGTTTGTCGTTTGTTTTCCAATTGTGTCAGAAAATTGTCCTAACAAAATTATTTTCACTTTCTTTTCACTCCATCTGCTTAGTTAGGTCTTTTAGTTTAAAGATGTTGTTACGATTCAGAGTAACTCACAGAACATTTCCCTTAAGCTTCTAAAGAGAACGCGATATGCTATATGAAAGTTTTTCGGGCGAAGGACTAAAGTAAGCTCGATATGCTAATGAAAATTTGCTTTGCGCCGGCGTGCATAAGGATACGTTGATAGTCGGACTACTCTCTTCATTTACTTTCGCTGGTGTGAATAACATCTAAGGAAAGATGATCTGTTCATATTTAATCAGCTCAACTATGCTTTGTTCAACCTGAAATGAAATAAATATGTTCAACCATCGTTAAATTAATGCTGAAACGTAGACAAATTTCCTTAAATGTAAAGCAAGATATTCTATCCAAAGACAGGCATGTCCTTATTTCTTTTTCACTTAATGATTAATTTAATGAATTAAAAGCCACAACAAATCTGCATAATCTGTTCTTTTTTTTAACAAGACAACCTTATTCAGACCACAATAACTATCGATCAAGAGATAATAATACTTGAAATAAGTGTGTTGCGATAAATCTTGCACGATAACTGTTACCTGTGTCAGTTTGTACCTCGAGGTATGACTAATCTGTACTTAGGGTCCAAGCGACTCATTCTGTATCAAATTAACTTTCTTTCGAGGGACCGCCGTTCTCGGTATTTACTTACACTGCGAGAGTGTGTATCAAATTTAGGAC